GATGACACCAATATGGCCTGCACGGAGGAGGCAAGTGACGAGTGCGTCAAGTGCGTAGAAGACACCTCTGGCACGTGTGAATTCAACAAACACATGCACCAACTGTGCTGAGAGATATACCAAGGATGAGGACGGCAGTGTCACGTTGGACCAAGACGAATGCATCAAACAGCTCCGTCCTATGCAACATCCTGAACGTGCAGGCGCCGACGCTGACGCCCAAGCATCCAAGATGGTTGCGGACATGCTCGGCAGCCTTAGAGGCGCATTGGCGTATGCATTAATCACCCAGGTGTGGGTGATGGCGCATGGTGTCTCTCTACAACGCGTCCAAGAACCGGCCAACATACAAGTGCGTCGAATGAGCGCGATTGCCAGGGAATTGCAGGCCTGCCCTAAGAAGATCGCCTACCAGGCGAACACCCCCACGGGCGAGGTTGACCTGCACTGCGACTCAGGTTGCCGACGCCTGGGTGGAGATGCCGATGACGAAGTCAAAGGCTATGGTACTCGCGGGGCAAAACTCATGCGGCGCGGAAACACGCCATCTGGTAAGCCCGTCGCCCACTTGATCGATGCGCACAGCAAGTCTCACCGCTTGCAGGTCCGCTGGGGTTACTCAGCAGATGCACTAGCAGCAGCCCGCAACTTGGAGGACTGCTATCCCACGATCGTGTCTCTGAACGAGCTCCACGCAGGGCTTCTAACTCCCACTCAGTTGAAAGACATACGTGAGTTGGGTGGCCTGAACATCAAGGTCACTTTGACCATAGATGCTGAGTCTGTTTTTAAGTCCTTCTCAAAAAAGACTTGAAGATGCCGACTGAGTGTACCCTTTCAGGACACATCAGCTGGCTACGACAGATCACGGAGCGAGGAATCGTGCACACCAGTCAATATTGTGACACCCGTGCTATGACAGCGGACGGTCACACCAAGGGGAGCATCGACAGAGAAATGCTCCACGCAATATTTCAAATATGACTTAAAGCGCCATGCTCCCTATCGGGCGGGCCAGACATCTCGATCTGTAGCTGCCTGAGGAGTACTCGTATGCAGGGTAAAGTGCAGGCAAGGCTTTTTTTGTTGCCCTTTTGTACATGGTAGCTGCTGTACCTGCTGTATAGAGGCGGCGGGTTCACGCTTCGTCTCCCTCACCCCCCCGACTCTAAAGTGAGGTAGGTGTCGCATGTGATGGGGAACGAGCGTGCATCCGCGGCTGCTTGGCTCAAAGCGGCCGGCCGCCCAGATCTGACTACACCTCAGCGCGAGGTGTACCATTTGCCATCGATACCAAAACTTCTTGAGATGGCTCGCCCCCTACTATTGGGACTATCGTTGCTACAGTACAACAGAGCTGGAGCTGGGCTACGCCTAAGGCGAAGCTGCTGGTTGGGCCTCCCGACCCCTTTTCGAATTTTTTTGTGTGAACTTGGATGCATATTGGACTCTCTTGGGCCATCTTCGAGGCCATATTGGACCATCTTGGACGAAGTGGGGGGCCATCTTGGAGGCCATCTTGGAGCCGTCTGGAAACGAAAAACACATTGCAACCACCTGTTACGCATCTCTGGCGGGACGGGCCGAAACCCCAGAGGGAGTTCTTTTTGAAAAGATCCAAAGCCAAAAGCGACAGGGTCTAGCACGCCAGGCGCCCCTGTGATGAATCAGCAGGGGGCGGCGGATCCTAGTGGTTTTCGGCCCATCCCGCCAGCGCGCCTGGCTTGTAAGTCTGAAGCCTCTTGTATATGTGTTGGGGTGTCGTGGGGAGCCTTTTCGGGGCCTCTTGAAGGCGGTTGGGGCGCCTCTTGGTGTCCTCCAGGGGGCCTCTTTCGGGTTGACCCAAAAGCGGGTCCAGCGACAAGGGGGTGGTACAATTGATTTGGTGCAGTAGATTTGTGGGGTGGTTGCAATACATTTCGGGCGTGCAAGACATTTCGGGACGCAGATGTATTGCTGTTTTTTCGCGTGCAATACATTACTCACAGGACAATCCAACACAATTCTCCGGCGCAGTACGTTTGCAATACACTTGCCCCAAATCTATTGCACCACCCCTTTGCAGTTGGATTCCCCTTGGGGTCACCCCGGCTTCTGGGGTATCTTTTGGGTTTCTTGGCGGCCTCTTGGGCGCCTCTTGGGGCCTCTTGTGCGAGATCGTGGCCTCGGGGGCGCGAATGTGGTGTGATTTACCAGGGATCGTGGCTTCGGGGGCGCGAATGTGGCGTAATTTGCAAGAGGTCGTGGCCTCGGGGGCGCGATTGTGGCGTAATTTGCGGGTGATCGTGGCCTCCGGGGCGCGAACGAGGTGTAATTCACAGGTGATCGTAGCCTCGGGGGCGCGACTGTGGCGTAATTTACGAAGGATCGTGGCCCCAGAGTCGATAACGTGGCATAATTTACTAGGGATCGTGGCCTCCGGAGCGTGGCTATGGAATATTTTACTCGGGATCATGGTTTCGGGGACGCGAATACCGTGTAATTTACAATGCATCTTGGCCCTGGGGGCGCGAACGCTGTAATTGACGAGGGGTTATTGCGCCCGGAGCGCGAATCTCTAGTATTTTTGTGTGCCCCACGGCCCCACAGAAATTCAGAGCACAGTGTGGTATCCAGCTCCCCCCCCCTCGCGCGGACAGTAGCTATTTTCAGCAAGAAGCAGAAAGCAATACTGTACTTAGCACCCCGCAATTGCGGATAAGAGTGAGGGGGCGGGCGCGGGCGACGCGGGCGTCGAGCCAGCGGACCTCGTGGCCCTCACCTTCCCTGTTGATGGCGCTTTTCTCCTTCTCTTCCTCCTCCTCTTGCTCGTCCGCGTCTTCGTCATCATCGTCGTCGTCGTCGTCGTCGTCGTCCGCCTCCTCCTCCACCTCCTCCTCCACCTCCTCCTCCTCTTCCTCCTTTTCCTGTTTTCCTTCTCCTCCTCTTCCTCCTTTTCCTCCTCCGTTTGGGACGAATGCACAAGAAACCCGCCGCAGGCGCCGAAGTTTTTGCTTGTTCAGTAAACGCAGTGTGGGTCGCGGGTGGGTCGCGGGCTCTTTACGTCCACCTGGAAGGAATTCAAAGACAGCCCGCCGCAGGCGCCGACAATTTTGATTTGGACACTGAACGCGGTTTGGGTCGCCTGTTCTCCACCTGGAACGAATGCCAAGAAAACCCGCCGCAGGCGCCGAAGTTTCGGCTTGTTCAGTGAACGTAGTTTGGGTCGCGGGTGGGTCGTGCGCTCTCCACCGTTACCTGGAAGGAATTCAAAAACAGCCCGCCGCAGGCGCCGAAAATTTTGATTTGTACACTGAGCGCGGTTTGGGTCGCGGGTGGGTCGCAGGTTTTCCACCTGGAACGAATGCACAAGAAGCCCGCCGCAGGCGCCGAAAATTGTGGGTGGGTCGCGGGTGGGTCGCGGGTGGGTCGCGGTGGGTCGCGGGTGGATCGCGGGCGCGGTTTGGGTCGCGGGTGGGTCGCAGGTTCTCCACTTGGAACGGATGAAAAGAAACCCGCCGCAGGCGCCGAACATTTTGGGTGAGTCGCGGGGTGGGTCGCGTGTGGGTCGCGGGTGGGTCGCGGTGGGTGACAGGGTGGGTCGCGGGGCGTGTCGCGGGTGGGTCGCGGGGCGGGTCGCGGGTGGGACGACGACAACAACAAACAACAAACAACAAACAACGAACAACAAGCAACAAACAAACAAAAACAAAAATTACAACAACAACAACAACACCAACAACAACAACAACACCACCACCAACAACGACAACACGAATCCGCATCGCGGAATTCGTAGCAAACCTAGCCTCGCAGCCTGATGGCCCCGCAAGGGGGCCGCGGATTTCAGCGCCATTTTTCAAGCCCGATCGATTTGTGATGATCCTATGGGGGCCGAGTCCAGGCGAAATCGCTCGTGGCGGCAAATATTGCAGCACCAGCATCTCAGGATCCTTCCTCCTCCTCCTGCCTGTCCTGCGCCGCTTCGCTGCCCTTTCGTGCCCCTTGCTCCGCCCTTCCCCATCCGCCATCTGTCCTCCTCTTTTTCCCTCCGCCCCCCCCCCCGCGCCCTCCGCCCTCCACCTCTTCCCTCCGTAACCTTTCCTCTTCCCCATCTTCCTCTTCGCCTTTCCCCGCCCCCACTCCGCCCTTCCCCTCCGCCATCCCTCCTCCTCCTCCTCATCCTCTTCCCTGCGCTTCCAGACCGTGCCGTGGCGGCACAAAGGTTCTCTCCGATGGCCCCCCCCCTTGGGGGTTTTCGGCTGAGCCGTCGGGCATCTCTCCCTTCTCCTCTCCCGCCAGTGGCGTGCGATCCCTACGCTGCGCTGCTCCATCGTGCGCGGGCGCCGCGCAATGGGGGGCGACAGATCTGTGAGGGGGCGGGTGAGGAGAAAGGTTCCTTTCTCGGGCCCCGAAGGGCCCCTTTCTTGCAGGCCCCGCTACCCCCCCCAATGTGGGGCTCCCCCCTGGCACGACGCCCAACGCGCCCCGCCCCTTGTGGGCCCTGAAGGGCCCAGTTGGAGGGCCCGGAAGTGCGCTTTTCTGCATTTTCTCGCTCCCCCCCTACAGTCAACTTGCCTAGTAAGGATGAGCGGCTTCCCAAGGTTTCCCCTGTTTCTCCCTTTTCGGCCCATCCTTGGCCGCTTTCGCTGGCCGCGCCAACCTCGCAGAGTGTTGATATGGTCGTCCGAGACCCTCGCATCCTTATCGCGCGTTCTTCTTACACGGATTGACTGTACGCATCGCCCCCGCCCAACGCCTCGATTCCTCCCGAGGAAATGACCCAGTAGCTGGCGTAGCAAGGGTGCCCCCCAAAGAGCGTGCGCTCTCAGACGAAGAGGGCGGGTGTCGAGGGTTTGGTGTCATGCACGTCGGGCGACACTCGAGCACTGCAGGGCGAACTGCTTCAAAATCATGCCCCACGATGGGCCAGCCCAGGTCCCAGGATAGGCCCCTTGCGCGACGCCCAACGCGCCCCGCCCCGTTCCTCGCCGCCCCCGCCCGGCCCCCCCCACCGCCAGGGCGGCGGCGGCGGCCAGGGCCGACGCGGCGGCCGCAGGCAGAAGTCCAGGCCCCCGCAGGCTGGCCAGACGACGACAGACGACGACAGACGACAGACGGCGACGTCGGACGACGACGACGACGACGACGACGACGACGACGACGACGACGACGACGACGGCGACGGCGACGGCGACGGCGACGGCGACGGCGACGGCGACGGCGACGGCGACGGCGACGGCGACGGCGACGACGACGACGACGACGACAGACGGCGACGACGACGACAGACGACGACAGATGACGACGACGACGACGACGACGACGACGACGACGACGACGGCAGACGGCAGACGGCAGACGGCAGACGGCAGACGGCAGACGGCGACGGCGGCGACGACGACGACGGCGACGACGACGACGACGGCGACGGCGGCGGCGACGGCGACGGCGACGGCGACGGCGACGGCGACGACGACGGCGACGACGACGGCGACGACAGACGGCGACGACGGACGACGACGACGACAGACGACGACGACGACGACGACGACGACGACGACGACGACGACGACGACGACGACGACGACGGCGACAGACGGCGACGACGACGACGACGACGACGGGGAGGGGACGGGGCGGTCGGACGGGGCTAGGACGGGATACATGCGTTCCAGAGCGTCCGGGAGCGCCCTCAGAGTGTTCTAGAGCGCTTTGTAGAGGCTGCGGTACCCGAGACATCCTGCAGATCTAGGGGGCGGCAAATGATTAGGGGGGGGATTTCATGGCGGGGGCCATGTTCTGTTCCCAGAGTTCATGGCGCCTCTTCTTATTTCAGTACGTCCACGGCCCCCCCCTTGGCCGAACACATGCCGCCGGCCATGATTAGAGCCCCCCCTCTTGAACGCCCCCCTCTTGGACGCCCCCGAAGATCCACTGGGGCCTCAGAGATTCTCGGCTTGTTCTCACCGGAGTTGATCCTCGTCCTGGCCTCGTCTTAGACGGGGTCAGGGGCCACGATAGGACAGGGCTCGTTTTGGCTCCTCCGATGCGACTCGAGTCGATTTTGATTTGGCTTCCGATTCCGATCCGGTTCGCCTCCGGATTCGGACTAGGGGTCCGGTTTCTCGATGGATGCCTTTTACCCCGCCGATTTCCGCCGATTCGACTTTTTCCGATTCGGCTGCCGATGCCCGCCGATGCGGTTCATTTCGATCGCCGTTCGACTTATCGATTCGGTTCTGGATTCTTCTGAGGCTACGCGCAGAGGGCCACGATATGGGTGGATATGCACTGGCCGGCTACGGTCGGCGGGATGTATAAGATCGAGGCCGGTTCGGGGAGGGTACCCTCGTGTTCTTCGTGCTTGTCGGGTGTTCTTGCGCATCCTGGGGGAGGGTACCCTCGAGCGATCTCATGGTTTGAGATGTTTTGGCCGGCGGAGGGCCTCATGTTCTTGAAGGATGTTTTTCCGTCCTAGGTCCGACCGTACGCGCAGAGGGGTAGGGGGAGGGGGAGGGTTTCTTAGGAGCACTCTTGCTTCTCAGAAGGCGCGGACCGTATCTATGAAAGAGCGTGTTCTACCGCTGCTGGCGGAAAACCGGGGGGGGTCACTACCGGTTCGAACCCCTCCCCCCCCCCCCCCCCCTCCGGAAAACCGGGGGGGGTCACTACCGGTTCGAACCCCTCCCCCCCCCCCCAGTTCATCATGAAAAGGGGGGGGGTCACTACCGGTTCGAACCCCCCCCCCCCCTCGAAAACCGAGTGGGGGTGCGGACAGTGGTGGGGACGGTGTTGGTGGGGACAGTGGCGAGGGGACAGCGGGACAGTGGTGGGGACAGTGGGACAGTGGGACAGTGGTGGGGACGGCAGTGGTGGGGACAGTGGTGGGGACAATGGTGGGAACAGGGGGGACAGTGGACAGTGGTGGGGACGGTGGTGGTGGGGACAGTGGTGGTGAGGACAGTGGGAATGAGGTGGAAACAGTGGGATAGTGGAAGGTACAATGGTGGTGGGGACAGTGGTAAAGGCGGTGGCGAGGACGGCGGTGGGAAAATGGGACAGAGGTACAGTGGGGACAGTGGTGGGGACAGTGGGGACAGTGGTGGGAACAGTGGGACAGCTCAGTGGGACAGCGGAGGAGTCAGTGGGACAGTGGGGACAGTGGGGATAGGCAGTGGTTGGGTTCGTGGAGACAGTGGGGAGAGTGGAACCGTGGTGGGAACAGTGGTGGGAACAGTGGGGAGTGGGACAGTAGTGGGGACGGTAGTGGTGGGGACAGTGGTGGGGACAATGGTGGGAACAGGGGGGGACAGTGGACAGTGGTGGTGACGGTGGTGGTGGGGACAGTGGTGTGGGGACAATGGGAATGAGGTGGAAACAGTGGGACAGTGGAGGGTACAATGGTGGTGGGGACAGTGGTGAAGGCGGTGGCGAGGACGGCGGTGGGACAATGGGACAGAGGTACAGTGGGGACAGTGGTGGGGACAGTGGGGACAGTGGTGGGAACAGTGGGACAGCTCAGTGGGACAGCGGAGGAGTCAGTGGGACAGTGGGGACAGTGGGGATAGTCGGGCAGTGGTTGGGGCCGTGGAGACAGTGGGGAGAGTGGAACCGTGGTGGGAACAGTTCTGGGGACAGCGGGGACAGTGCGACAGTGGTGGGGCCACTGGTGGGGACAGTAGGGGCGGTGGTGGAACCAGTGGGGACAGCGGTGGTGAGGACAGTGGTGCTGGGAACACCAGTGGGGGATGTGATGCGGACGGTGGTGGGGACCGGGAGTCGTTTGCTGGCGGTGAGTAGGGGGGGGGGGGGGTTCCAACCGGTAGTGACCCCCCCCGGTTTTCCGGATCCGGAGGGGGGGGGGGGAGGGGTTCGAACCGGTAGTGGCCCCCCCCGGTTTTCGAGGGGGAGAGGGGGGGGGAGGGGTTAGGGGAGGGGGGGGTTAGGGGGGGGGGGGATTTCGGGGGGGGGGGGGGACCCCCGGGCTCCGGAGGAAAAGGTGGGCAATTTTCCACAGTAAAGCGGCGGTGGATCACGCTCTCTCTTATCTATAGATGTAGGGTCAGCGCCTCCTAAGAAGCAGCCTCCTTCTAAGAGCTGTTCCCCCTTCCCCCTACCTTACTTCGGCACGAACGAATTGAGCACGAAAAGGAAGGGTACGATGCCCAACAGCAGTTCCTGTTCATTTGAACAGGACTCGCTGTCCGCGCCGCCGCGGCCTGTGTCCATTTGAAACAGAAGGCCGCCTGCCCAACAGCGGCCGCTGTTGGTTTGGGACAACACTTGTTGTTGGGCATTGCACCCATTTTTTCCGCACCCGTTTCGGGCGTCCACATCACTGTGCGCGCCGCCAGACAGGTGGGGACGCATCGACCCCCCAACGCCCATTGATCGCCGACGGGGGCCCCATAGCCCAACCCGCCCAGGAGGGTGCGGTTTCACGGCATATCGCCGATCTATCGGCAATGTCCGAGGAAGAAACACATAAACATCAATTTTTGGTGTTCCGCACGGATTTCTTGGATCCGCGCTGGCCCCTTTCCGGCGGCGCCTCAGGCGCCGCTTTTGGCGCGCTCCGCGCGCCAGGAGGGGGTCCAGCGCAGATCCAAGAAATCCACGCGGAGCGGCAAATGTTTATGTTCATGTGGTTTCCTCATTTTCTCGATCTATCGGCAATGTATCGCCGATGCCATGTCGATGTTTCCCCCCCTGGCCCTTTGCCAGTCCCCCCCCTTGCGGGGGAGCGAAAGGGGAAGAAGGGGGGAACGGGAGCGGAAGGGAGCGGGGAGGAGCGAGAGAAGGGGGTGAGCCTTAGGCTTAAGTCGGGCCTGTCCCTCTACAGTAGGAATATTCAAAAATAGTCCAAAAATAGTATGGGGACAAGTTTGTGACTATTCCTGACAGTTTTGCAGCATGTTTGCTGCTATGTTTCATTTGTCGTCCAAAATCCGCGTGTACGGGGGACATGCCCGACCCAACCCTAGGCTTGATCTCGTGGAAGGATGGGGTCCAGGGAGAAACGCGTCCGTGAGCTGAAGGTCCTTCATCAGCAGATTTGTCATACGTTGTCGGTTCGAGGGTTATGGTTTTTCGACGTCATCGTCGGGTCTAGGCGGTTTTCCAGTCTCGGGATGCCGTCCAGCAGTTGCGAGGAAGGGGTGACAGGAGGGGAGGGGGGGAGGGAACGGATGCCTTCCAGAGCAGATGGGGGCGAAGGATCGCGCCGCATCGTCGAGGCATCGGCTCGATGTGGAGCCCTACTTTCGCCATGCCGACGGCGGCGATGCACCGCCGATGCATCGTCGATACATCGGCGATGCATTGGCGATGCGGCGCGTTCCTCCCCATTTGGGCGCCTGTAGGGAATGTGGGGGCGGTGGGGAGGGAATTGGAGAGGGGGAAATGTGCTCGGGATCTCGAGCGATTCGGATGCCATCCGTTCATAACATGCCCGCAGGCCCTGTTGTTCGAGTTGCGTTGGAGGAGAAAGAACCCCAATATACGTTTTCCCCACGCATCCGCGTAACTTCCGCCATGGTAGCGGAGAGAGTGGTTCTGTGGTGAAGTACGCAGATCAGATCCACGGGAAGACTGAGGACGCACGCTGCCCATGGCAGCGGCGCCCAGAGAGCAGCTGGTGGATTGCAGAGGCGACATCAAGCTGCCAGAGTTCAGCGGCAGAGATGAGGACTGGCCCAGCTGGTCCATCAAAACCCACGCGTTTTTCGCGCTAATGGGCTGGGATGACCTCATCGACGATGTTGAGGCCCAGCCAGCGCTCGCGGTGGACAACGCCAGCATGGGCGAGCGCGCGGCAGCGACGATCAAACTGCTGCATGCCATGCTGATCACCAAGACCCAGCGCAAAGCGCTGGCGATGGTTACGCTCGCAGGCAGGCACGAGGGCTTTGTCGCATGGCAGGCCATCAAGAACGAGTACGAGCCTGGGGCGGGCAACAGGTTCGCAGCCATGCTCGGCGGCCTGCTCAACCCCAGGTTGAATGACCAGAAGCCGTTCGCTGACCAGCTCGTTGACTGGGACAACGACGTGGCGAGGTACGTCATGCAGGCGGGGAAG